TTTCCCTAGTCAAAAATAGGACTAATCAGCGCCGAGTTTCTTTAAATTCATAAGTGCAACATTATGTTGCTTTATAAGCTTCGCATCCGAAACATAAAAAGATTAGTTATCTACAATGACTTTCGTGCCGCCTGCGAAGGAGATGAAAAGATGCTTCCTATCGTAGTAGCTGTTTTCAAGCTGTGTGGCCACTAAAAGTCATGTGCAAGTTAATGACAAATGGTGCACCGCACATAGTAAGCGTCGGCAGTTGCCACTACTTCACCTCTGTCAAGAATGGGTTATAAATACGCAATGATTTCACTTTATAGATTATCATGTATGATGTGAGTTTGTTAAAATGAATGAAGATTTCTGGAAAAGCATACGAACGGTTGCAAAATCAAGAACGATTACAGCAAAAAGTTCAGAACTGAAGAAACACCACTTTTCCCAATCAGAGAGACCACGAACCGATTGCCTTAGCTATTTGGTAGTTAATTTCCGTGCCAATGGTATAAGCACCAAACTCAGCAGCCGGAAGCAACAATCCACCTGAAACGAGTTTCTAACACGCAACAACTAGGTATTTTATCATAGTTCTATGTCACGAAATAAAGTACCTGTACCCATGAATGGATCCAATACTAGGTCGTTCGGCCTAATCGAAGTGATATTGCCCTAGAAATCATGGACGAAAGATATTTACAACGCTATATAGAACAGCTAATGCTCTGAACAAAAGATATTAAATGCATTTTGTTTCTTGAATAGAACCCATTGGGCAACATAAGCACATTACAGAGAGCGACTAGCGCCCCCTCCCAGAGCAACTATTATCAGGTGGAGACCAGGTGACAGGGGCTGATATCGAACAACCAGAACAATAATGAACGCCTATAAATCGCATAGCGAAAGAAGCATTACATAACTTCGGAACGGTGGAGCATCGTGGTTTTTCTCACGGACAGGCATCTGTGGTTTTTCTCACGAATTCTAGACTTAGCAGAAGATGAGGATCACGCGACGAAAAGACTTCCTCAGATTGTTTCAAAACTTGCCTAGTAAGAAACCCCAGTCAGCATACCATAGAGAAGCTTGTCTCCCATCTTAACCCAATTTACATCATTCCATAGAACAACAAGAGTAAGCCGTCGAGCAAGGAAAAGAAAACAGGCACGTATAGCGAATAAACAGGAGAGAACGACGTCCCTGTTCTATAAATGAGTAATTCGGACAAACCATGTTCGAAAGCACGGGTTCATTCAACACTCTTTTGTTCATCATACTTCTCACTTCTCAGAAACGAATAGTATGAGCCCACATTTTCGTACCTGGATGAATGCTAGCTCTGGATCCATCGTTGTATTTCCAATGTACTGTCTCGTTTTGATATCATAGAGGGATTTCAACTTGGACTGGCCATCACCTATCTACAACTGAAAAATTTCAAATGTAACTGGGAGGAACTGCAAGAAATGAAAGGCGACGAAGTTACACTTTTTGAAGTTTATTCAAGAAATTCCGAAAAAAATTTTCCACGTTGTCAGATCGCTGCTTCTTATGTGATGTAGACAACTTATCAACAGCAAGTGGTCCCATGCAATGATGCGGAAGTGGGGAATATTGGTTGGTGAGCGCAAAACGCCTAATCATCTAACCTATGGGAGGGGCAGGTTTGCACTTTCTCGTCGAGTGCATACGTCCAGCTATAATGTATTAACACCACACCTCTCGTTTCAACCGATCAGAGTGTCGCATAGTTTCATACTACTTTTTTTTCAAACTCGCGTCGTACTGACGACCTGAGAAGATGGATCGGATGCGGTACGAATAGATAGACGAGTCGTTATCCATATACGGTGCTACACAGCACTGTGCTTGCTGTCTGAAGATCTAGTAACTATCTTGTAACCTGGGCTGGTCCCACTGGAGAACGGTTTTTTCCCCAAGCTGCACCTGAGACAGGAGAACGCAGACTGTAGACTCTGGATATACGCGAAGTTCATTCATTCGAAGTTCATTGGCTGCATCGGAATGATATCGCATCACTAGTGTCTGACGAGTGGGAACGAAATCTGAGAAATCTTTCTTTTTTTTCCGCGGGAAGGATATTGTAAAAATCATAGAGAAGGCATTGTATTCCGCCTAGCACTGTTAGCAGATTGAAAGGTGATAGGCTCCCCTCTATTGGCGTGCCCACAGCACACTAAAATGCTTTCTTTCCCTGACGAGGCAAGACCACTCGAATCGAAGAAGCCGAGGACAGGGTGCTCTGCCTCCCCTTGCTCTCTCCGATCGACATCGTTGTGAGGAGCAACGGTTCCGAAATCCTATTGAGATCAAATAAGTGAATGAGAACGGATTTGGTTGCAACCCACGGAATTCTCAAACAGGTTGCATAGAATTTTTCGCGGACAGGTGGACTTAATTAGGGGTCAGCATTCCGGTAGTGTGGTTGTTTCACCGAACAAGCAAAAAAATATCCAGGCTAAAAAGAATGCAAAACTTGCCACATTAGGCGAGGCGTACGTTACACTGATCAGGATTTATAGGAGGATATAGCGAAATGGGCTATGTAACAAGAAAAAAAAATTACCAATCTGCAGAAGAAAAGTCGTTGAGGCTCTGATGCACAGGGATCCGAAAATTCTTCCAGTATATAAAAAGCATTACGAGGTGCGTTCAAGTCAACAGGAGCGTCGTTAAGTGGAAGAATTGAAGCGAATTTCTATAAAAGGACCTTGTCAGTACTTTTAACTAGAACCTCTCGTAAGATCGGATATTCTTTCCAGAAAATAAGGGAAAGATACACTCACCTCAGCTATTCCCAAACAGTTAACACCTTTCTTTCGTCCGATCGGTCGCACTTTCACACTGAATGATTGGTCGGCACAGTCGAACGCCTGGAAGTTGACTTCTAATAAATCGCGCGAGGTCAAGTAATCTACGTAACTATGCACTTACAAATGCAAAACTGAGAATGATTCGTGCATCACAAACCTCAAAAGATTTTGCATGATTCAGCACTTCTTTACACAGATCATCGTAAGAACTGGCAGAAAGCATGTGGAAGTAAGCAGATTTTAGGAGCAGTGATCTCGAAAGGATCTTCCTTACGTCTTCTTCACTACTAACTTCAACAGTTAACACATGATCCTGCAAATAGAGGATTTTAGTAATTCTCTGGCTTCGTAATAGCGTACTCCCAAAGAACGTAACACGTTATTCAAGGTGAGGAGTTTGCTGAAGAAACTGAGAGCTTCAACTCATTTCGTGTTTTGCTTGAGCTGGAAGTCAACATTGCAGAAAAACCGCGAGCGTTGCGCACACAACAGTCAGTGTCGATCATTATGCAACTTTGTTCGCTGCGGACGAAGGGGCGTGCCAGTGAAGTAGGGTTTGGCCCATTTCCTATCAGTTGCTGGAGCGTGTAAGCGACAACAACTAGCGGAAAGCGACTTGCAAGAGCATGACACAGTCTTGTCGCCTGCGGAAAGAAAAAAAAACGACTGGTGCAGCTCCAAAAGCATCCCTATGGACGTCCCCCATCCGCAGCATACAGGACTATACCACGAAAAGCAAGCAGCAAATGAGTAAAGCACACTACATTCCAAAAGTATGCCTATCCAGTTAGAATATTTAGTATCGCGGAAGTAAGACTATTTCGATGGCCCAGAAGTCAACATGAACTCTAAAAAAACCGCTTGCAGGGGGGCATTTTGCACTTTCGCTACTTCCCTCTGACGTGTCGCGAAACAGGCAAGCTGTTTCATGAGCATACAAGAATTTACAGGTTTTACTACGGTGGCTCAACGACCTTGCTCTAGCTTCACAAGAGTTCACAGGTTTCACCTGACAAGGGAGGTCGTTCAGGGCGTGGTGAGCTTTTTCAAAATGGTCTTGTGCATATTGTAGGGGCACATACGAGGACCAGAAAACTGAGGTTCATTTTCGCTGCGCGCTTCTACGAATAAAAAAAACGTAAAAAATAGGTCGATGGTTCGGATCCCACCGAGGACAAAATTTTGCTTTTCTACAATTTTTCATTTTTTGGATCCATGTTTGTCTAAATAATTGGTCCTAACAAAAACATTCACGATAAACTGAACAATCCTACTTTTATGGAGCAAAACTGCTTTTTCGTTCGAATTCGTTAGTATGCACAGACTCAGCTCTTCGGCGCTATGCCGGTGCCAGATGGCACTGGAACCGAAAATAAAGTCTAGAATCGTGATCAGGACTGTCGATTACCCCTAGGAGCAAGTTTTGAGCGAAAAATTTTTTTTGACTTTTTCGGGTTGTAGGTGACCATTTGGTCGGCAGTGTGAGCGGAGTCTCACATCTTCGTAACAGCGATGACGTATCGTTGACGCTACGGACCTGGACAACCCAGTAAGCAAACCAAGAAGGTCAAAACAATTGTTTTGACCGAAAATTCGTTTTTAGTGGTAATCAGTGGCCCTGATCACAAATATAACACCTATTCTTGGCGTCCACGCAATTTGGCTCCAGAATAGCGTTGAACGTCCCTATATGGGTGTACATAACGAATTCAGTGGGATGAAGATGTGGCTCCAAATTGTCTATGAATTGAAACCACATCAGAAGTTACTAAATTCGCAATCAGATCCACTGTATAGCCTATGAGGATCAACGTCCAGCAACAATCTTGTTCAATGGTGCGTGAAAATCGAAATAGTTGAATAGCACTGACTCATGAGGTACAGCTACTCAGAATGTGCCCATAAATGGCAAATATCCGAGTTATATTCATGCGCAGACACAGATGGAAGCGAGAACAGCGAAATCTAAAAAAATGCAAAAATCCGCGACGGAAGGGGAGCCGAACCATCAACCCCACCCTCACTGTCCGATTGCGAAACCTCCACTCTATCCACTAGGCCATCCGATGCTCGACTCTGCTAGCGCTCTTATCGTTGATGAAACCATTGCAAGAAGCCGTTCACCCTTGAGCACATGACCCAAGTTGGAAGCTCACTTGCGGCGATTTTTCGCTTCGATTCAAATAGCCCCTTTATAAGGACCCCCCACTCAGCAACTGGTCAAAGTTGCAAGTGACCTACGCCGTATAGAGGCCCAGAACGAAGCAGATTCCAAGATTTCTTTTCACTCGTTTTTTACCTTTCCTGGAAGCGCGCAGCGAAAATGAAGCACACTTTTCAGGTCCTTGCATGAGCCCCTACAATATGCAAAAACCGTTTTCGAAAAGCGCACCACGCCCTGAACGACCTCCCTTGTGAGTGGTACTTGCCAACCGGAATAAGTGAAGCAGCGAATGTGCAAGGTGCTCCTCCTCTCATCGCCACACTGCGTCGCGCTACAGCCGTCGCGCTACAGCTGTATCCAGCTTCCTTTTATATTTTTTCTTTCTGAATTCAACCCTCTTTTGCCATATTTATCTGATGCTGAGCTCTTTTCTACTTTACCGCATTTTTTACCACATTTTAATAATGGAATGAAAACAATTTCGCAATCGGGATCAACACGAGGCACCAATGCAAGACATCGAGCAAAGAAATCAAACATCAGTAGCAACCCTAAAACCAAATAGAGTCGGAAACGAAAATAAAACCAATTATCATAGTGCTCTGTATCAAAAACTATATAAAAATGTGATAAAAATGTGGTAAAGTAAAAAAAAAAAAACAGGAGCTCAGCATATGGCAAACAAAGAGAAGATGGTTAAATTCAGAAAGAAAAAATATAAAAGGAAGCTGGATACAGCTGTAGCGCGACGGCTGTAGCGCGACAGCTGTAGCGCGACGATCGTAGCGCGACAGCTGTAGCGCGACGATCGTAGCGCTACAGTTGTAGCGCTACAAGTCTGAACGCTGCCTAAGAGGAACATTTGCTGTGCCTCGCGACTCGGAAAAACAGTAAAATAGAAGAATGTGCAGTAAAGGAGTAGAAGGGAGTCGATTGATTCTGCTGGGAGAATAAGAGAAAAAGGCAATGGACCATTTCGCTCTCTCCTGCAGTCTCCCAAGTTCTTATTTTCCCCAAACTGTCGGCTCGATACTTATTTTCAAACTGCGCGCATTCTGCTCCAATTTCACAAGCCGGAAAAACGCGGCTTTATCCAGTTGTTGAGAATTTCATGATTATTAGATCGTCCCTGGCAAGCACTTGGCTCTATACGCTGGAAGTAACAAGCGCGACACCCTATGAACTTTGCACATACAGCCATGCAGAATTCCGAACTTAAGGAAAACGCGATGGTGGGCGAGGCGATGTGAGAACCACCTAGCTCGTAGACCTATTGTGGATAAGAAGTAGCACTTTATATTCAAATGGAGTGAACCGAAAGTTGTAATGAGAATTACTAACGAATCAGTCTGGTAACGTCAGAGCTTGGTATGAAAAAAGTCTAAATTGCCATTCTTAGCGCAATCACCTTATAGGAAGGCATAATAAGCGACAACTGGAAGTTCTACGCAGTTCACAATCCATTACCTTAGAATTAATTTGCGATACATCGAAATCCAGTCGTAGTGCATCAGAAATTCCTCGCAATTCATCTACTCGGAAGTCGAGATGCATTTGTGAGAAAAGAAAAACTACTTTCATCTGAAAGGCAACATATGCATAAGATTTTTTTCATCAAAACAACGAATTTTCGGTATTGTGACCAATGTAAACACACATAACATAGAAAATGAAACGAAGCACATCTTTATTTATTACTAAATTCTATTTCTCTGATCACATCACATCTACTGTAGCGCGGCTTGAAGTCCAAAACCAGGTCCTTTCGGTTCTTCCTGAAAGGGAAGGAATAAACCTTTAGTAAACAATGCAACTTAAAATCAGGGTACATAATCGTATTGGCAGCGTTAGAACGTCCTCCCCAGAAGAATTCCACATCTTATGCGACTCCCATCCCCATCCTACCTACCATCTTCCTAAGTTTTCCTGTGTTCCTGCCACCTTTCCCCGTTCCAAGTTTCTCATCTTCCATCAAGAAAAAAAACTAGCGGGGAGAAAATCGTCACTAGTCAACTACCAATTTCAACTATCATAAATAGCAGCTGTACTATTCTTACAATTACTTTAAGAAGGAACTAGGGGAGGGGGAGAAGGCGAAGCTGGACAAAAACTATCGCGGCCCTACAATGAAGGCTAGATACGATTCCAGCACCCAGGTATGACTTCAGAAATAAATATATCACTGCTAATAATTGCACAATCAAGGAAAAGAGGGAAAGGGACAGAAAAAAGAGGGAAGTCATACGAAAAAAGGGAATTAGTTCCACAGAGCCTTGTCAACAGGGCCTTGCCAGCATCCGATGAATTCACTTTCTACAATACCCCAATGAAACAACTTACAATTAGAGAAGTCGGTTTCCCCATTGGTTCGGCAGCTAAACGTCCTGAACGGGGACCTGGTTGTGGACGGCGTCCCTCCTTTAGGTCAGTCAAAATATCGTTCACGTCTTGCACAGTGAGATCTTCATAGAAGTCATCATTGATCTGCAAGTTGCAAAAATTGACACCAATAAGAGAAGTTTCCCTCACGCTGCGAAAGCGACAATTTTTGAACCAATAAGGCTGCGTTCATACCTCATGACATCGACGTAACTGACGTAATCGACGTAAGCGGCGATAGAAGATTAAATACGTATCGACTGACGTCGAAAACTACGGTTACGTAGACACGGACGAGGATTGCTCACCTGCATCATAGGAGCGTTTACGCAAGCTCCCAAGCATTCCACTTCCGCCAGTGTGAACAGACCATCCTTCGTGGTTTCTCCTACATGAATGCCTGCAACAGGAGATATCATGCCCCTGATGGATTTCTGACACACATTCTTCCACGGTCACGGATTCAGACCGGAAAAATGTTAGTGTCAATATAAGCGCCATGGAAAGTACCTAGAACTTTCTCAATTGTTTCTGTGATCGTCTCCGCGCCACGTAGCATGCATGGAGTAGTTGCACAAACCTATAAACAATTCTATACGCATAGTGCTTGAGATACAACATACCGTTAATATTTCGCCATTGAACTTGATACTAGTGCAAAAAATGTTGGTACAAGATAGGCACTCGAGCCGGTAGCAGGAGACACTCAGAACCTTGGCTATTATCGTCCTCATGATCTTCGACTTTGGCGTATCTCGGCTCCCAGCTACACACATCTTGTTCGCTGCGGAATGGGCATGGAGCGGAGCCAGTCCGTTTTCCACCCGTTGTTGAGACGGGTAAGCGACAATGGTTGTTCAAAAATGACTCATACAAACGATATGGTACATTCTAGACGGTGCTCCGTCGACAACAGGTAGAAGACTGGCTTCGCACCGCGCAAACGCTTCCCGCTGGCCACGCCCCATCATCCTCAGCGAACAAGTGGTACAGCATTTGCAGATTACGCTAGGGCAGCATTCCAGTATGGAATGCATGAAACCATCACCAACATTATAACAGTCAGAATACACACTGTTTGTACTTCCTAACAGTATGTCGAACTGACTTAGAACCTAATTGCTGTCCTTGAGCCACAGCTAACAACGGACCTCAAAACAATAAAAGTAAAAACTGAAAGATGGTTTCAAGCGCAGACAAAACTAAATTATGCACTTGTAAAGGAATTAAATTTAGTACAGTAAATCGGCCAATCGGCGAAACAGGATAAGAGAACCAAGACATGTGATAATTAGAGAAAAGAACGACAGTCGGAAGTTAAAAATGGACATTCATGAAAGGCAATCACAACAGAACAGAAAGAAAGATAGCGATGAGCGAGTAACAGCGAGGTCAAGTAAGTGTCACTCAATGGATGCAATGAATGCTTTTATGCTAAGCAACCGTATCTGATAGAGTTGCAGGCACAAGCTCGCTAAGGGAGCACACCCCTCTCGGTGGACTAGCCCCATAAATGTCTAGAAAATAGTAGAGCACAAAAGTTACGAAGTAAGGACGAACACGATGCACTACTTATTACAGAGAAACTACATGTATGTCAGGACACTCGGCAAAAAAGGGGAAGCGATGAGTCCTAG